CCCCAGTGCTAATTAGCAATGCTACCAAATCTACAGTAACTAAGATGTTAAACATTATGCCTGATGATCAGCATGTTAGCACTTGCCTTTAGATAAACATGAAACACTGTTCAGTAGGAATATTGTATACCGTTAGCATACAACCTCACAGAGGCACTAGCATTGCTATATTAATATTTTTGTCCATGTACGATCTCTGAAAGTCAGTGCTACACGGTAAAGTGTGTGGGAGACGCAGAACTGATTGAGGAGAAGCAGAATTTATATGTTGTTTTGGGCCAGAGGGACATTATTGGAGCATGGCTACATGTCCCTTCATGCATAGCTAATAATGAAACCCAAAGGAATCCTAAATCACCCTCAGCTACAATAAACATGGCACAAACATTTGTACACAAATGCCTGGCAGATGAATGAACACAGTACACCTATAAAATAAACAGTGTCACTTGACAATCATGGATCAAAACAGAAAAGCAGCAGTTTCCCCATTAAATTCATGTACATTGTTTATTAGCATCAATGTTTATTAGCATCACTTTTTTCTAAGCACTCCTTTGTGTTCTCATTCTTATCCACTGCTGGTTACTGATGTCTATTTACTCCCACACTCATTTTATTTTTTGATTTGTACAGATATAGGTTTCATAGGAAGACGTGTTTTGTTTTCCCTCTGGACAACAGCTACAGCGATATCCATGTCCAATAAAAGACAACACACGTGTCCTAATTTGACAAATAAAAGTGAATTTTGTTTTCCTTTGTATTACATTGTGTGCAGTCCTTTGTGCAGCAACATGTTAATATCCCACTTAACATATTCGCTGCTTGGTGGAAGATGAAGTCGCTTCTACAGGAGCATCAGTTAGCCTCCACGTGTTCTCGCTATCGAGCAAAGCAGTGCTTTGCTTTTCTTCAGATCATTTTACCCTGAGCTGAGGGAGATATGTTCATCTCTCTTCATTTCCAAAATAGTCTGAAAGATAAGTGTAGAGATTTATTTATAGAGAAAACCAAGCCAGAAATCAGTTTATAAATAGAACACAAATATTAAAGTTTTGTCTAAACATCTGCTCAGGATTTATCATTCTATTAGAAATAAGAGGGGTCTATTTACAAAACCTGGCAAAGACTGCAGCCTGCTGGCTGAAGAATGTAACTGCATGGTGATGCTGCTCTTCCATCAATCTGTACCTGAAGTCCTAGTCAGTCAGGTAGACCTCCATGCACCGTGGGTGCACTCCTGCAGGTAAAGGGCTCTGCAGCAGCTCCTCCAGAGGGTACTTGGTCTTCATGAGCTGGGCCAAGGCGTCCTGCACCAAGGTCAGCTTACACCGACCTGCATCACCCTGACATACAAATAGGCCCAAACAAAACAGATGTGGCTTGGACTGCCAGCAACAGATAATAGCAATAAAAACTACAAAATAGGAGACAGTAGATGTGCATTACAGATCTAGTGCTTGGAGAGGCAACTTGAGGTCAGCAGTAAAATACTTCATTTGTTCCCACCACTGTAGCCAACTGATGGCATTCAATTATTCCAATAAACTGAGGCTGCCAACAAAGGAGAACCTAAGATCTTTCCTTGTAATCATGATTTGCACTCAAGAGGATGAGGTCCTAGGTTCACTGATAACAGCCTGGTCCAATAACTGAATATTTGTTACTTTCTGGATTCACATCAGCTTTAAAATGTTGGTGGACCAACAAAATACTGGTCTAGCACTTTCAGCAGCCTCTAAAAGTGCCAATATTTGTTACAGTAATTACAATTAAAACATCACAAGCATAACACCAAAAAAAGGCAATTAAAATATTCAAATATTGCAACCAGAATCTGAGGGGGGGGGGGGGTTAAAGCTCAA